CAGTACAATTAAGCATTATCTCACAAGCTATCTAAAACCTCCCAATCCTCACACCTTGGAGCCCCTAACCTTTAAAGCTTTGGAAAAGCCAGCAGGGATCTAACCTTGGGATCTAATCTTGTTCCAGAAAACAGACCCTATAACAGAAAACAACCATTTCCTAGGGACCTTCTTGATGGAATCCAGAGCGTTCTTCTTCTTTGAGACCTGGAGTGTTAAGAGAAAAACAAATAACCCAGCTTCATGACATGAAAGGCTTTGTGTGTCAACCAACACCTCGAATTCTACCTGGAATTACACTAGGAGCCAGTGCAGTTCATGGAACTGAAATGTAACACAGGCATAGCAAGGTGCAACTGACACACAGGATGAAAATGTGCAAAAGACCTCCTGGCTGCAGCTGCTACCTCCAAAGGAAAGCCATGAGTCCAGGAGGTTCCCTAGATTTACACCAGTTCTGAGTAGTGCAACCCCATCCAAAACTAAAGGTGGAAAAATACTTATTTTAGTGGGCCCAAAAACTCACAGCCAATCTTTCTATGGTTGAGCTGAAGACTGTTCTTCTCCATCCAGAATGTCACAGCCTCCAAACATTGAGACAGAATCCCCCTGGCATCCTTTGATTGGCCTGGGATAGAGGTGTAGGTCTCAGTATAATCAGCATATTAATGATATCATCACTGGTGCCAATGGATGACCTTACCCAGCAGCTTCATGTACATGTTAAAAGTGGGAGAAAGATGGGAGCCCCCAAGGAATCCCAAGCAGAGGTCATGGAGTAGATTCCTCCTCTCATCACTGATTGCAACTGGCCCTGGACAAAGGAAGAGAACCAAAGCAGAAATGTGCCTCTTATTCTTAGTCCCCAGAGCTGATCTAGAAAGATAATATGATCAAAAAGGTCAAGGAGAGTCAGGATGAATGCACCACCCCTTTCCACTTTTGCTAAAAAAATAATAAAGTGTGATAGATGCCATTGCAGTCCTGCACCCAAGTCTAAAACCCAATTGAAAAGATTCAAATAATCTTCCTTAAGAAAGAATTGGAGATGTAGAACAAAAGTTATTGAAAAGGTCAGATCCAGTATGGCTTCTTGAGGAGGCGGGTAAACCATAGCTTCTTTAAGCAATGATAGGACTACCCCTTTCTTCAAAAACAAATTCATGACAAAGCTACATCGGCTAGATGGACTTAATTTTTTTAATTCAAGCCTCATTTTGGTGGCTTCTTCTGCCTCACAAAATATAGTCCTTTTCTGCTCTGGTTTTGGAAAGTTATTCTATTGCAGTGGTTGCCAACTGGTGGGCCATGGCCCACTGGTGATCCGTGAGAAAATTTTGGTGGGCTGCAGCACACCCATGTGTGCAACAGGGGTGATACTGGCAGCAAATGGACTGATGCACGCTGGGAGGAAGGGTAGTGTGTGGAAGATCGCGGCATCGGAGCCCTTCCCGGGTGTTCCCTGGCCTGTGAGGGGGTGGGGGCGAAAGGAACCTCTGAACTGGTGCTGGATGGTGGGAATCTGATGTCTGGAGGCTGACGAGCCACATGCTGAAGACAATGGCTGGCAGAGAGGTGGGGCAATGCTGCAAACCCTAGCAAACCCGTGTTATGGCTGCTGCCTCCTGCCTCAGCGCATTGAGGAGGCTGAGCAGCAGCGGGAAGTGCATGGACCTCCTGAGTTGCAGAAAACAGCTGTCAGCGACGCCCTCAGGTGAAGATGTTGCGAGGGGGAGGCTCAACCCCTCCCCTCAGAAGCTTCTCTTCTCCCTTGCCAGAAGTGCTCACACGTCCAGCGGGAAAGAGGCTTGGCAGGTGCCAGTGGGGCAGTGAGTGCTTTGTGTGTGAGCGCTTCTGGAGAGGAGGAAGAGAAGCTCCCGAGGGGAGGGGTTGAGCCTCTCTCTTACAACATCTTCACCTGAAGGCATCACTGGTAGCCACTCGACCTCCTTGATCTGTGGAGGCAGGAGGCAACACAGTTCAAAGGTTTCTTTCCCCCCAACCCCAACCCCCTTGCAGGCCAGAGAACACTTGGGAAGGGCTTCGATGCCATGATCTCCCGCGCATCAGTCCCATCTGCTGCCGGTATCACCCGTTGCCCCACCTCCCCACCCTCCATCTGGTCTTCGGCACGTGGCTCGTTAGCCTCTGGACATCAGGATTCTCACCACCAGCACCAGTTCAGAGGTTCCTTTCCCCTCACCCCCACCCCTGGGGACAGAGAGAGGAGGATAGGGAGACAGAGAAAAAGAGAAAGAAAAAGAGGGAGAGAAAGGAGAGATGGAGGGAAAGAGAAAGAGGGAGGGAAAGGGGGGAAAGGGAGAGGGGGAGAAGAGAAAGAGGGAGAGAGGGAGAGAAAGAAAGAGAAACAGAGAAAGGGAGAGTGGGGGAGTGAAAGAGAGAGAGAGAGATGAGAAATCCCAGTATTTTTTTGTGGGAAATGGGTCCAAATGACTCTTTTGAGTATTTAAGGTTGCAGAAATAGGCAGCCAAGCTAAGTGCCTGAAAGACCCCATCTCGTCAGTGGGGGTCCAGGTGCATCAGTGAGTGGTGCGCTGGATTCATATTAGTGGTCTGCAGGATTTAAAATTATTTGTTTGGTCGTCCCTGAGGTCCAAAAGATTGGCAACCCCTGTTCTATTGGGTTGAAAATAATTGACAATAAAAAACCATAAGACATTTCAAAAGCCAAAGAGTTGTAGCTTTGATGAAGGATTGCATTCAAAAAAATACTACATTCTTTCTCAAGCCTAGCGACCCCCACCCAAAAATATTGTCATTGGGATTGGAGGCCCCAAAACAATTCATTAGTGTTGGATTCAAATCTCTCCATTTGTTTCCCAGCAGAAATAATTTAAAACACATTTTTCCTTCCCAAATAAGGATGGAGAACAAACTGATATGATTTTCTGAACTAGGATAACTGGTGGAACCCAGAATTGGTGAGCTGCAAGTCTGAAGCTATCTTTGGACACAAGAACTGATTTCACCATACAAAAAGAAAATAAACGTAGAATAGTAATTGTATGATCACTTCTATAACAAAGCAGTGCCACAACTTTACTTGGAAACCAGCATATTTGGGAAGAAGCCATAAATAGGGTTTAAATCTCAATTTTCACGTTTGTCAGTCATCAAATAGAGGGGAGTTAGGATATAAACTATTAAAACATAAAAATACTATGATTACAAATATTCCACGCTATTCATTATAGAGCTGCTGCTGTTAGACTCCAGATTAGTCCCCACTTCCAGCTTTAATCCTCTTTTGATACTCGTATAAAAAAGAACATAGCTAAGTAGATAATTGGCTGCCTTGGGACATTGGTGAAGGTCCAACCTCATGTCTGAAAAAGCTTTTGAGCAGTAAGTAGAGATTGTATTAACTTGAACCTACTTTTGCTACTCTAAAGTAATTAGTTTGTCACTGTAAAGTGCAGTTTGGTATAGTGATTAAGTTATTAGACTAAAACTGGATAATTCAATAAAATCAGATTTTCAAAAAGTTAGTATTTTTTCAGAATTAATTACAGTAACTCTAACATTAGTAAAAAGTTTCAGGAAATCAACGTATTTCATATAAGTCCAAAAAGAGAATCTCAGAAACCATGGTAACATCTGTTGCAACATTAAGATGACCTGGATGACATCTGCAATAAATAACCTACAGTTATTTATAGTTGCTTTACAAACAGCTATAGTTGTTTGGAGATGTCAGAGCATAAACAAAAAGATACAATTCTCAATGTTAAAAAGTAAATTTCTGGAAGCACGAGAGAAATCACAGAATTTATTCCCACAGCTTAAAAAAGCGAGCAAAATGCCAACCTGATATTCTCTGCCAACTTTATGACCTGCCAGAAACTTTTCTTCAGAAGCTCTGCCAGATGCTATTGCTGGATTTCCAACTTCCCTTGGAGATAATATGTTGAGCCTATTTATGTATTCAGTGAACAAAGACTTTATCTTAGGCTGTACATAGGCTGGTCTTTTGATCAGAATTGAATTTCACTTTAAATGTTTTCCTAATCTAATCAGGAGTGATAGGATTGTACATATTACGCCCTGGATTTGTGTATAATAGGATCATTTTGTTCAAAATAATAAAAAAAAGGATAATATATCACATCTTACAACATCCAGATTTGTGTAGCGGTTAATGTATCGGGCTATAAACTGAGAGACCACGAGTTCTAGTTCCACCTAAGGTACAAAGCCAGCTGGGTAACCTTGGGCCAGTTCCTCTCTCTCAGCCCTAGGAAGTCAACATTGCATGTAACTCTGCAGTTAATAGTTACATATTTGATATGGAAGAAATTGTGTGTGCAGTTCTGGTATAATTAATATAACATTATTTTTAGTCTTAATAAAACCAGACCTTGAACATGCCATTTTTCCATGTCAAATAAGTAACTTGTTCCATTTTTTTCTGGAGTAATAAGTAAAAGAATATAGAATATAGATTATGAGTACACAAAGTGACTCTGTAAATAGAAGTAGGACACCAGCTTGGAAAAGGTTCCCCTGTATATAAGCAGAATTTTCCTGCTCACAGGACAACAGGATCCCTTCACATATAATCCACATATGGATTATAAATTCTGTTTTCAGTTTGTTAGCAAACATAATACAAAACCTATGGGCATTTTTATACTTTTTAAAATCTAAAATGATGTGACTAAATTCTTGAAACATGAATCATTCTGAGATTTGTTCAATTGTTTTTTTTTATCAATTTTAAAAAAGCAGAACCTGAGGTGACATACCAGCGTAGCTAAACTAGATTTCAGGTGAATGAAATCTAGCTTTTTTCATAGCAATGACTGATTTAAAATGCATTTATCCCAGTCTGTTTCTAAGAGACAGGAAATGCAATGGCCTGAACAATCATCCATGTTCATCAAGAGTAAAGAAGTAAATTATGTGCATTGTATTCATTCTTAGTGATCACAAGTACCAGGATAAAAGACTAGACACCCCTTTCTCCTCTGCCATATAGGAAACTGGTCTTTCAGCACAGGAGATCTTTATAAACAAGTTCAATCCCTTTTAATATTTCTAAAATTAAAAGCTTATTTGACATGGCGAATTCATGCTTTTGGATAAACCATAGAAAAGTACTTCATTTTAAGAAACATTTATAAGAAAACTAATCAGTGAAAATGTGGGTTTAGAAAGACACTACAAACAATTTACATCTTGGAGACAGTTTGCTGCTAAATGTGAGAGTGACACAAAGTGGTTCATCCATTTAGGTGCTAGTCCTCTTGTTTTTCCAGATCCATTATGCTTATAATAGTGCTGTACAAAAGTAAAAAAGCAGCAAATTCTGAAACATATGTACTCAGCTGTATCTGTATTCAGCTCTAATGAAATTAGTTAATGGAGGAAAAATAAGTGGAATTGAAATAAAATGCATATTACACATTACATGTAGCAAGCTTTAAACATTATTATTTAACTGCAGAATCCTGACATTAACTAGAATGTAACTGGGAAATAAAAATCATGTTCTTTAAAGTAGCTACCTCCGATAGATTTTGTATGAAGTGATACATATTTTTTGTTATTTAATTCACAATATCCCTTTGACTTTGGTACATTCGGTGAAAAAAATAGTTTCAGGAATACCTTACCTTTATAAAAAATAAAGGTGTGTGTGTGTGTGTGTGTGTGTGTACACACACACACACCTTAATTGTGTAAATAATTGAACACAAGAACTATTTAAGCATGGAAAAGTGAAAAGAACAAAAAAGGTCTATTTTCTTATTTACACCCTAAGAAAATCAATATTATGAACTTATAAAAATAAACAAAAGTCACCGTGTAAGAGGCTTTCTTTTTCCTGATATGCTGTGATAAACTCACATTATTTTTAAAAAAGCCTTCATGCAGTATAAAGAATAAAGTTAACCATTAATCTCTTACAATAGCTCTCCTTCTGCTAAACATGATTTGCATATACAATTGTACAGGTTCTCCTAATTAACAGTTTTTCTGTTCACACCATTTTTTGCTGCCAACTTTTCTTCATACCCTTGTTAAGCTGCAGAAAATAACTGTTCTTTGTGCTGTATCTTTGAAATGCAATAGATGTCATGCAGGCACACATAGATTTAGGTATAGCATATATAGCATATTCTTGTATTGTGTAAGACATATAGTAGTGTACCATTGGGAAATAACTCCTATTTGATTTTTTAAAAAGCATTTTTTACTTATCCTCTTACAATTTAGCAGCAAGCTAACAATCTTTGTATTTCACTGAACTCCATTCAAATATTTTGATGAAATCCATTTTTGAGATGTATTAGATTTTGCAGCGGTCTAATTGTTGCTAATCTCTTGTCATTTTTAAAAATCCAACTAAGTTTTAAACATTTGGTGCTCATGAGAACAAGGCCACAACCCTACTCATGCAGCTGTTAGGTTTTCTCATTCATCAAGTCCCATTCTTCCAATTGCATTGTACAATAGTTTTTATCTTTGCAACTTGCTGTAAGCATTTGTGTATTTTGGGGGAGTGATCCACCAAAGTCCCAGATACTGGGTTAGACAATTTGCGTCTTATTCAAGACCAAATGTGCTCGTCTCTTCAACAGCTGTCAACAGCTTCTCATAGAGCATGGAGAACGATGGGTAAGGAGGAAGGTCAAGACGATTGAAACAAGTGTGAGCTCTGGGGAAAAATGGAGAGAAAGTTTTTATGACACCAAAAATCAAGTGTGGAAAAACTAAGAACAAGAACTTGTTCCCAAACATACTCTAATTTAGAAGTTAATTTATTCCTAGATTAAAAGATGAATTGTAAACACATTTATTGTTATTTTTCTATACCTTGCTAACTAATTGTTTGCTTCAAAACAGTAGCCAGTATGTAGTATATTTTTAATTTATATTTTTAGTAACCTTCTATAATGTTTTTACTTTTCAAAATTACTGCAATGGGTGAGGGGGGAAATGATCTTTAAATCTTTAAAGAAATTAAAGTAAGATTTAAAAGTAAAGCAGTCCCGTGTGGATTTTATTCACTAGTTGTTGCCGACTTGGCGGGGGGGGTGCTTATCTCCAGTTGCCTTTGAGACAGGATTGCCATTGTGTCAGCACTGTCCACAGTCATGTGGCCAGCATGATGTCATGGAGGGCTGTTACCTTCCCACCAAAGTGTTCCTATTTATCTACTTGCATTTGCATGCTTTTGAACTGCTAGGTTATGTGGAGCTGGGATGAGGACAGGAGCTCACTCTGTCATATGGCACCTGGGTTTCAAATCTGGGCTGTCGGCTTTCAAGGCGACAAGCCAAGCATCTTAACCTCTGAGCCACTGCACAGCCCCAGTTAAAATATTTTGCAATATTTTCAAGGTTACAAATCATAGCTTTTCAGCAGCATTCCAAAAGTCACTTTCAAACAGTGGAAGTTAACAGAATGAAAATAAAATTAGACTTAATTTAATAGAGTTGCTATTACTTTATACATTGAAAATTATTCATTTGGTGGATTTTATAACAGAGGCAATATTGTTCTAGCCAGTTCATTACTCTCCTTTTTATTATATTTCAGAACACTAAATCTGCAAATAAATTATCATTATTACAACTTTGATAAAGTACTTGCCTTCAGGAAGGAAAACCATAGTAAGAATTTTCCTGGGTTACATTACATTTATTGATAATTCTCATTTTCCAATATGCTAACATACTTAGATAATAGAATTTTTATGACCATGTCCATTAACTTTCCTTTTAAAAGAATTCATTCTTAGTTTTACCATAAAATGAAATTACTGTGGATCCAAAACCCAATATAACTTGGCAACAAGTTTCATAAACGGAGGTTCAAACTAATTACCTACAAACAAAAAAGGGACTAATCTGGATGAGATAAAGCAGCCTCACTGCTTGGTCTCACACCTGTCCATCATCATCCTTATGAGTAATGCCCATTCACCTACATATGCCCTGCCCCATTTTATCACCCTACATATTTCAACATGGCTGCAACATTTACCATCATGGCTCCAGTGAACTCAAAGTGCAGGAAGATAAGGAGAAGGATCTATCTCAATTCTGTTTTCCTTTATATCTCAACTATAATAAGTTGAAAGTGGATAGTGCACATAAGAGCAAAACTGGTTTTCCACGACAATAAAGCTTGAGCTTTATTGACCTAAGAAATGTTCAAGGAAGACTATAATCTTAATGTGTCTCAGCAGATCATAAACTAAGAATATATTTGCAACTGAAAACTCAGACAGGTTAGACAGTATTTTAAATCAGTCTCCAGTAACACAGCAGCAAATTCTTCAAGGGAAAGCTCCATGCCTCCAAAAAATGGGAAGTCAGTCAGCGAGTACTAGGCAGCATCTGGAACTTTTACTATTGAGTGCTTAAATAATTCTGTATGCAAGTGCTGTAGAACTGAAGAAAACTTTTTTCATCCAAAGCTGAGATGGTGGATCAAAGTACGATTTCTTAAATATTTATGATTAATCTTATGTTTTATTTAAACATGTTTACATCCATACATATACTTAAATGTGCTTACATGCTTTTAAATGTTGTTTAATCATGCTAAAATTATGAGTCCAGGTCAACAGCAACGTAAGGACACGCCAGAATTAAAAATTAAGTCTATTTTCAGGCATTCAATGTGTTAACATTTATCGTCATCTTCATGGGGAAAAAACCAGGCTGTTTTATTTCACCTATTCTCAGAGGTATTATTATTTCTCAATCTGAGTGGTAATGGGTATAAGCACAAGAGATTTTCCAGCAGACTTTAAATTAACCACAGTTTATATGTCAGGATATGACAAGCTGCTGTTAAGGAAAAATAGAAGCAAAAGTTTAGAGGCATGCCACAGGAAAGGGAATGAGAGAAAGAATCAGCCAAAGACTTGCTGCTATTTGTTAAAAAGAAAAAAAAATCAAGTGCTGCCTCAGAAGCTCACTGTTGCCTTCTGCTCAACACATTACAGCATTTTGCAGAGCAGAACAATAGGATCTTTTTGGCTATACCCTGACAGATTTTCAAATTAGTAGCTTGGAGTTAGCAGAGATTTAAGGACACGACTCTTGATAAACTAGTTTTTACAGATATCAAAAAAGCAGTAACTAGAGCAGAAAAGCAGCAACTATAAATGTAAGACTGCAGCCATCTCTCTCTCTCTTCCAAATCTTCTGCCTCTTTCTCCTTGCTTATGCATCCTGAGAGACTGAGCGCCAGTTACTACTCTGAAGAAGGAGCAGCTGATACTATGCAGTCATATTGTAATTTAAGGCCATCATAATCGTGGATATGACTAGGCAATTGAAGCTCCACACCTTTTTAACATGTGCCGTCACTGTGGACACTCCTGATTAGAGACATTTCTGCTTCTGATTTTGGTTCTTCTAACTCACCAGATCTATCAACTAAAAGTAGCATCTTCTGTTAGTCTTATGGATATTTTCCCCATATCATTAGGTTTTCAATACTTGCTCAAAGAGTCTGCTTTCCACCTCTTTTAACAAACATTCATTCCTTGACACAGATATATAATGCTATATTCTACCCAGGACCATAATCAGGGCAATCAGCTGAGATTACAGTCAGATGTTATACATCAATGGGAAAAGAGAAAGATAGAAAAAGTGGGGCAGAAAGGAATAGTTTCAGAACAATGTTACTATGTATTTCATGTAGAAATTTGCTGAAAAGAAAGAGTGTTTTTTAGAGACAAAAATAAAGTAAGAGTGGTTTAAGCTTCACAGTAAGCAAATCTAAGGAACAGGAAACAAATTATGCTGAATCCCCCCAATTCTCTTTTATTTAAAGAAACCCAAAATCATCTGCTCCCAGTGGATTTATTTTCAATATTCTTAGAGTTACTTTACCTGGGCAGAGCAGTGATTTTGCCCCATTTTTCTACACAGAATCTTCTTGGTCCATTGCTTCCTCTCAAAGAAGCAAAACCTTCATAAGGTATACTGGATGTACCTGTAACAAACTGGAAAATAACATAAAACACTGTGACTATTATTGAAAAGGATGATCTAATGCATAGTTCTATTTTTATTTTCTATTTGTAAATACATAGATGACCTCTTATCTGGAAAACAATAAAATTTATTTTACGATTGTGTTAATTGTACAGAAAGAGCAATCAAGGCAATGTATACAGGAAAAAAATGGGGTTTCAGCTTTTGAAAGGATATATAATGTTCCAAATGCCTCGAACTACAATCTTTTCAAGACTTTATTGAACCTGGTATGGAAGTATGTTGGTAGAATATAGAGTACTTCTGAACAAGCATACTGAGTACTGTATGGATCTGGCTACGAGAGCTTTTGGGATTGTCCCTACACCTGCCTTGTCCTGCGGCAAAGACAGTCCACTTACTGCTTTCTGAAGATATATCAATGAGGTAAGATGAAGGCAAACCAAAGTGATGCAGTAGGAAACTAGTCTTTTCAATTAGAGCATGTAGTTAGTTTCTTTGCTATGCAAACATTTGATGTCAAATGGAGCAGGACCCCAGGATACAGGTGAAACTCAAAAAATTAGAATATTGTGCAAAAGTTCATTTATTTCAGTAATGCAACTTAAAAGGTGAACCTAATATGTGAGACAGACTAATTACATGCAAAGCAAGATAGTTCAAGCTGTGATGTGTCACAATTGAGATGATTATGGCTTATAGCTCATGAAAACCCCAAATCCACAATCTCAGAAAATTAGAATATTGTGAAAAGGTTCAATATTCTAGGCTCAAAGTATCCCACTCTAATCAGCTAATGAAACCATAACAACTGCAAAGGGTTCCTGAGCCTTTAAATGGTCTCTCAGTCTGGTTCAGTAGGAATCACAATCATGGGAAAGACTGCTGACTTGACAGTTGTGCAGAAAACCATCACTGACACCCTCCATAAGGAGGGAAAGCCTCAAAAGATAATTGCAAAAGAAGTTGGATGTTCCCAAAGTGCTTTATCTAAGCACATTAATAGAAAGTTATGTGGAAGGGAAAAGTGTGGAAGAAAAAGGTGCACAAGCAGCAGGGATGACCGCAGCCTGGAGAGGATTGTCAGGAAAAGACCATTCAAAAGTGTTGGGGACTTTCACGAGGAGTGGACTGAGGCTGGAGTCAGTGCATCAAGAGCCACCACACACAGACGGATCCTGGACATGGGCTTCAAATGTCGTATTCCTCTTGTCAAGCCGCTCCTGAACAGCAACGTCAGAAGCGTCTTACCTGGGCAAAAGAAAAACAGAACTGGTCTATTGCTCAGTGGTCCAAAGTCCTCTTTTCTGATGAGAGCAACTTTTGCTCTCCAAGGACCCAGAGTCTGGAGGAAGAATGGAGAGACACACACTGCAAGATACGTGAAGTCCAGTGTGAAGTTTCCACAGTCTGTGTTGATTTGGGGAGCCATGTCATCTGCTGGTGTTGGTCCACTGTGCTTCATTAAGTCCAGGGTCAACGCAGCCGTCTACCAGGAGATTTTGGAGCACTTCATGCTTCCTTCTGCAGATGAGCTTTATGGAGATGCTGACTTCATTTTCCAGCAGGACTTGGCACCTGCCCACACTGCCAAAAGCACCAAAACCTGGTTCAATGACTGTGGGATTACTGTGCTTGATTGGCCAGCAAACTCATCTAACCTGAACCCCATAGAGAATCTATGGGGCATTGCCAAGAGAAAGATGAGAGACACGAGACCAAACAATGCAGAAGAGCTGAAGGCCACTATTGAAGCATCCTGGTCTTCTATAACACCTCAGCAGTGCCACAGGCTGATAGCTTCCATGTCAAGTCGCATTGAGGCAGTAATTGTTGAAAAAGGGGCCCAAACCAAGTACTGAGTACATATGCATGCTTATGCTTTTCAGAGGTCCGATATTGTTCTATGTACAATGCTTGTTTTATTGATTGCATGTAATATTCTAATTTTCTGAGATTGTGGATTTGGGGTTTTCATGAGCTGTAAGCCATAATCATCAAAATTACGACCAATCACGGCTTGAACTATCTTGCTTTGCATGTAATGAGTCTATCTCATATATTAGTTTCACCTTTTAAGTTGCATTACTGAAATAAATGAACTTTTGCATGATATTCTAATTTTTCGAGTTTCACCTGTAGATTTGTGATCAATAGAGCCTCAACTGGCCTCCTGGAGGGCTGCCTTTTCCCATTTGGCTGCCAGAAAACTCAGTGTATTCTTGGTAATTCAAGTATTTCTTTTTTTAAAAGAGGAATGAACTAACTTTTATGAGGTCACTATTTCCATTGGTAATCCTATACAGTCAACTTTCTCCATACATGGTGATTTCCCCACTGGTAACTTCCCTTAAAATCTTTGTCTCATTCCTTTTCTTCCTGACTACCCTGTCTCTCCTATCCTACCAAGCACAGATTCTTTGACCTCCCTGTAAACAGGCCGGAACAGGGAAAATGGAGTATCTGCACTTGGCTGGTGAGATGGGCTAGGGTCAAGTGGTAGGAGACAGGCAGGTATTCCTGTCTGCGTAGGCATCACCAGTATTCCCAATCACCTTCTTTGTGCCTACTATATAGGTTTCTTGCAATTGACTGTAGTAATACATAAGACTTTGAGGTCACAATATTAGCAAATAATCTGTATTTAATACAAAGCTGTTTTTTAAAAAATATCTTAATGTATATTTCCTATTTTTTTCAGTCCAGAAAAATAGAATTGGAAGAGGAAGGAAAAAAATTAAAATAAAATCAGGTTTGATCCTCCCTTTCTGACCCCATTTGGTATAAATCAATCAGTAATTTTCTTTGTGAATTAAAGAGATTGCAAAGATAGATTTTTAGTCACAGCATAAAATACAGAAAACAGAAGAATATTTCTCTTTCATTCCATTTTGTTCTGACAGGGTGGGGGTTCTGTTTGGAACTCTGTTTGCAGACATTTTTCCTTTTTTTTTCCTTACTAGTTTAAAGAATCTATAATCAAGCAGAAAACGTTATGCAAATCTAAATATTTTGAGCAGGTCCTGAAATAGTGAAAGAATTTTTCTTAATGTTTATGAGATAGGGCAGCAAGATAAAGCATGTAGACTTGTTTCATCCAGGAATTATAAATGGAAAAAAGGCAACAATGAATTTACACTGACTTACTCCCACTACTGCAACCTATTAAATATTTAAGACAGAAATCCCTGCTCCCCCAAAACCTATAATTGCTGCTTTCATATGGATGAATCAGGAAAGGAGTGAAAAGTATTTATCAAGCCATTTAACAGTTTTGAAATTCCAACTCTTCATAGTTTTTAACAGTGTTTTATTATGCTGATATCAACTACAGTGATGCTAACTGCAACCTTACTTGTAAAAGCCGTAACCGTTGCTCATTGTTGAATCTTTCCACAGCAGCCCAAAACCATCGAATTACAATGTGATTATCATGGTATCCTGTTTAATAACAATTAATAATATATTATTCAGGGCAATCTTGCTTTTAAAAAATCATGAGAAAGTGCTAAAAACTGAGCAATATTGCAGATGTAGGCCCTAACATTTGCTAAATTAATCTATCCAATTTTATATCATATATATGGGATTAATTCTTGTTCCCTTGGTAGACTTTCAGGGTGTAATGTCATGTTTGGACATGAAACTTCACAAAAATGTACACGGGTTAAAACATGAGTTAAAAATTACTGATGATAGAAAAGTTGGAGGAATGATGGATATACTATCTAAGGAGAATAAGATAAAGATGCAGAAAAACAGCCTCAGGAAATAATGGGGAATTGAATTCAAGGATTTAAACAACCTAAGATAAAAGTAAGGTAAAGTAGTTTGGATAATTCCTATTATAGATAGTATCACATCTATTTTTTATTAACCAAAATGTTTGAGAGCCTATTTTAATATAAATTAGTAAAGAGTTGAACAGAACATGGGAGATTACTGAAGGAACCCTCACTTCAGAAGGAATCTCTTGAGTATATGAGTTCTCAGCTAGAACTGTAGAACAGAGTAACCACATGAAATGATGAGTTCTTTGCTGGAAGACCTCAAATATAGGCTGGGTGGTTATCTATCAGAGATACTGTGATAGATAACCACTGGGTTAGGAGTATTTATTGTTGATGACTTTAATTTTTTTATGCTGTAAGATGTCCTGAGTCACTTCATAGTGAGATGGATAGAAAATAAATTTAATAATAAATCTATTTTAAGAATAGTCTAGGGCCGGGGTTCCCAACTCCGAGGCATGGCCTGTTTTAATTATTTTATTTCCATTTATTTTCTTTAAATTAATGTCTATCTGCACAAACAACAGACTTTTTACAAAAGACCTCAGTACTTTGTATAAGTATGTTTCAATTCGCTTCCAGAAATAAAGTCCAAGTACCAATTAAGTCAATTCTTAACTGTCACAGAAACATCTGTGAAGGTAAGAGTCTCATTTCATTGAAAAGCCTCTTTTTCCCCAACTTTTGCCATTTTTACTATTTGTTACAAATTAAATACCAGTGTAACTTCTTAGATTAACTCATTTGATCTCACATATTGCTAGTCATGCTGTTTTGGATTTTACCTCTTTTATCAAATTAAAGGATTGCTTATTCCAAAATGGGAAAATCCAAAGACATGTGAAAACTTAAAAGAAGACCATATGTTTGTGAAATTACACTGCAAATTAAAATAGTTTTTGGGATAAAATAAAAACACACTAAACAATCACACTTTTATTTAATTCAATTTATGATCATTCAGGTTAACTACAACCAACAACATATGTATATATGTATGTGTATTTTAGAAGTTGTCACCTCCTCTATATTCAGTGTTATTTCTCCAGTCACTTAAGTCAATTTCTGCAGTGCCAGCAATAACCAATTCTAGTTCTCTTGCATCAAATACAGACACCAGTCTAGCATCAACCACCTAGGAGAGAATATATATTCAATATGTATCTTTTGCTTTTATTTCCACCAACTATTATATAGGGTCCACAGTTCATAATACTGTAATTTTTGGTGCAACATTTAGATATAACCATTAAATTTGAAAGAAAAGCACTTCCCTCATTTTCTAGTATATATTTAAAATATAAGCAGAGAATTAGAAGGTATATTCATACCACAAATAATATGTGGAAATATCTCCAAGCTGTGCATTCTCAACATCAAATTTTAGATGCTCCAGCAGAATTTGTTCCACTGAAGTTAGACAGAGACCCAGAAATCACTATCAATATACTGTATACTAGAAGGGATTGTGATTCTTGAGCCTAAGGCTGATTTACTACCAGGAATATTCAATAGCTTTTTCTTGTAGTAATATCCCCTGTGATGACAACCATCTAGAACAGGGGTCACCAATCTTTTGGACCTCAGAGACCACTAAATTCATAATTTTAAACCCCACAGACCACTAATATGATCTGCCTAATGACCAGCTGGGTGGGCGTGGCCAATTCAATTTCACTCATGTCAAAGGGCGCCTCGCCAGACTCTACTCACCCCTCCCAGCCACTCCTTGCCTGCCCGCCCAGGCTTCTTAGGGCCCCAACAGGAAGCAGTTGTTGGAGCTAAGCAGCCACCATGAGAAACAGTTGGCAAAACAGCTGGCTCAGTTCAAATTGGATCTGACTGAGAAGGAGGCGCAGCAGAAGCACCTCACCGAGGACTATGAGCATTGGCTTTCCAAGCAGAGGGAACACCTGAGGGAGTGCAAGGCCAGGTACCGGCACCTGGAGGCTCAGCAGGCTGAGAAGGTCAGCCAGTTCCAGGCCCTGATGCATTCCCACTAGAACAAAGCCCTTGAGCTCTTCCGTCCAGCCTTCGCCCAAAGCCCCACACCAGGAGGCTGAAGCAGACTGCAAGTTGGAATTTCTACTCCCCTCCGACTTGCACAAAAAGACTCTGAGGAAAGAGACTCTTTGCAGCAAAACAAATGTTCATTGCACGTGTCTGGCCCAGGGGCCATAGTTTGAGGATCCCTGATTTGTGCAATATAAAAAATGCAAATAATTTTTCTGCAGACCACCAAAATTTTCTCGTGGACCACCAGTGATCTAGAAAGTCACACCAATGGTATAATTAGTTCACTACTTTTAACATTGATTGGTGATAATTCTTTAGGCTTAAGCCAGACATTTTTCAAGACCTATTTGAAATGCAAGAATGAATGATGGGAACCCACTGTATGAAAAGCATTTGCTCTGCACTTAAGAAGTAGGTTCTCCCATCATGCAACTTATGCCCCATCTGAATGACTTTGGGGGCAGGAGTTGAACTTGAGAACAACTGAAAATCTAGGTAAAATTATGCAATTTCAAAATGCAACATAATTGTGCTCTGTCAATCCCTAACTGGTTACCATCTTCATATGTAGGGTTTATTAAATTATTACAAGCAAGTCTAGTTTGCCTGACGTTAGTGACATTAATGACAAAGCCTGAGTGGAACAACTTCAGAGGCAATACAGTAGTTCCCAACACGATTTAAACAGTTGCAGGATAGGAAATAATTATGAATCATAGATAATCCTAACATGTGACAAATGCTCTAGGCACTTAATGCATGCAGTATATGAAAACATATTTATATTTTACCTCGTAAAAACCACGTACTAAACTTTCTGTCTGCTGCACCACACCTCTCTCAATTCTCCATTTCACCATTCTTTCTATATATTCCTTCTTGTTCTTTTCTGTGACAGGAATGTTGGCACCTCCAGGTTTTAATTCCCTTTCAGTAATCTTAAAAGCAAATTACCACCAATACGTTATAAAGCAGGATCTATTGCAAAGAGAAATGTTAATTTATCAAAGTGATGCTAATTCCCCAAATGGCTGATAAAACCTGGCTGATTTGATCTTCTGAAGTGGTCAAATTTGGTCAATATATAAAGAGCTAAAAATTTAACTTTGGAGTTAATGGTATCAAGTACAAAACTTGAACGCATCAAAAATGTACATATTAGAACAAGAATTCATGTACAATGAAGAATTCTTATCCAGGAGTATAACATCTGGATGCTTGCCAGCTCTGCTATCTACGGGAAACAACTGCCACCCACCACGCACCCCATACTCCAAATTGTCTCTGTTTTGGAATGACCTCATTACAACACTGAAGTCTCCTTATCCTGGAGGACTTCTGGATCTACACTGAACTGGCCCAGTCAGGAGCACTTCAGGATTATTTATCCCAATTACTGTTTGATTTCATACATGGAGGAGGACACATTTGGATTTGGGATTTGATTAGGTAATAATTATGGTCATAAATTTACCTTTATTCTAGTTTCAAATATTGGCTTTTAGGCAAAATAAGCAATGTACCAAATGTACCATGTCCAAAATATGTAAATGACAACTTATCTGGAAGTTTTGGTGTTCTCTGAGCTTAGTTGTATCCTTGTAGATGTTTTCAAACAGTCAAGCTCAAAGAACACCAGGAACAATGCAGTTCAACCCTAAGCTACATATATTCTCTTCTACCGAAATATTATCTTATATTGGAAGCAAGATGATCCATGGAAGAGAATTAGAAGCATTGTAAAAATAAGTACCAAAAGACTGCCCTTGAAAGAAAAAAAAGATTGCCCACACCTGTCCAAAAACTTCTTCATTTACAGTGAATGTGAGATCGAGGATATCATGTATATCATTGTCTTTCATCCATTGTAGACTTTGGTGAAATTCTTCATCAAGATATTCCAGATCACTTAGGTCACACAATCTATAATAAACAAGAAGTAATTAGAGGATTAAAAATGACCTAGATTATGTTGATGTGAACAAATGAAGAGTAGATGATTATGTGCTACCAAGTCAACTCTTAATAACCACATATGGATTTCTTCAAGATGGTCTATCCACCGCGGGTTTTTTGATAAAATATAGGAGTTGTTTATCACTGCTTTCTTCTGTGTAGTATGAAATGAAACCTTTGCACTTCAACAACTTCCTATGTTACTGCTGCCTAATATTGGAGCCTTCTTGCTTTGGCTAGACAGTGAAGATGATTCATACCTTGAATGACTATGCTGGGACTGCATACTGTTTGCATACTCCCAGCATTGTTTATTCATCCCTCTTAGGAAGAATCACCTTAGAGGCAGCATAGCAAGACTATAGCAGGGTAGATATGTTATTCATTCAATAATAAGGAGAACAAAGAAGGAAATCTGTACGATTATTACTGCTAGAGTTCTTTATGCTAAGTCTTCTTTCATACATATAGATACACGTTCATTCATTCATTGGCACATCTTAAAATCTGAAATAAAAACTTACTAATAAAAAACTTCATTGCCATTTTACTAGGAAAATGTTATTTCATTTTTTTTTCACTTTTGAGCATCAATTAAATTCAATTAAATGATTAGATTCAAACCAATAATTAATCAGCAACTGGAATACCCTAGAACTACAGTTATATGATGCTAAATGTGGATACCTTGCAAACTTTCTGTTCAATATTCATACTGTATCAGAACAACATGTATCTTTGAATTTAGTTCATCCCCTAATAAATGATTCCTGAAGCAAAAAGGACAAAGTATTCTATCAAAAATAGGAAAATAGAAAGATATTTATTTCTGCCTCCAAAATAGTTTCCTTGATCACTACATTAAGTGTAAAGGCAGTCTGTGATTTAAAAAAACTTATAATATGATTTAATAGATATAAAGCAGTTTATTACAGATATGACTTGCATCCAGATATGTCTTCTGTAAATAAAGAATAACCTGGTCAAATTTCTCTACTTACATTCTGAGAAGGGCTTTATAAAATGGTCGGGTAAAAAAGGCATCTAACAAATATTGATGAATCAGAGCAAGACCAAGGATTCGACCACTAAATCTGAACCTACAAAGAAATTAGAGTACAGTTTAGATTTATTATTTATCTATTTAAATTTGGTATATATGCTAATTCAATAAGTAAATCTGACACTGTTATCCATGTCCAAAATGTAATTTTGCATTACATTTCCATAAAATCATCATTTAAACAAGATATTGTCATTATTTCATATTTAAAGGATTTATCATTAAATATTTAATATCAAAAATATTTGCCCTTTGAAATATAAATACCATGAAGGTGGTTATTATTTCACGTGGAAGACAAATACTATATTTTTTTTGGTAAATGTTTTTCTTGTTTCCTTAATTACTGTGAGTCAATAAAAAGTATAGGCAACATAAAATTGACACAGTAACGAATTGGGAATCAATGCAATTCCTTGAGAACATTAACAACCTATGTGTTGGAACTGTAACGCCCAAAATGCCTAGGTTGCAAGGCAGCTGCAATCCTAACTTATCCAGAGAACACTTGATTGAGGAAAACTGATGTATAATTTATTTGTAGGTAAGCTGCCCCCCTCAACAAGCTACCAGCAGCATTTTGCCCAAATAGAAACTTGAGAGTGAATCTCAAGGACAGTCCCATGTAAATACGTTGCAATAATGGAACCTGATTTTAGCAGGATATATACCATTATGAAGGCCCAATAAAGAATAGTTTTACTGGAGAACCAGGCAAAGCTAAGAAAGATATGGAAATCCTTGTTATGGAGGCCACCTATGTTCCATTCATAATATAACAGGAAGAACATACCCAAATTAACCAGCTGTTCCTTCAGAGGGTATGCAAGACTATTCTTCAGAACAGGCAACCTGCCTAATTCCCAGACAAGAAAATTGTCCTAATCACAGACCCTCCATATTATTAGAATTCAGCTACTGTTTACTGGCTCTCATCCAGCTCATTGTAGCATCCAGACATGAGATTCATCATCTCTCCTGATTCGGAGAGCTAGAGCTGAGTGTGTTTGTGAACTGATGAAAACCAATCAAAAACTTCATTCCCTCCAATGGCTCTATAAAGACAACAACCTACAGACATGAAGTACATGGTGAAAAATACATCAATGATAAATTTTCTTGACATATATTATGTTGTGCGGTCCTTGAAAACAGCAATGTTTTGTCACATAAGAAATTGGGCCACTGTTTTGTGCCCCCTTTCATTCACTTTTTTTTGTATTCACATAAAGAACTCAGACTAATGAGATGCAGTAAACACTGTTTTCAATCTCTTTCTGGCTGACTTGACTCTGCCTTTAATGCTATTTTGCATTTTATCCTCCAAGAGTTGACAGATTAGGTAACTGTTTTCCTTTCTTATAGAAACATGGATACTCCAAGAGATGGTACAAAACACAGAGCCACAAAGTAGCTTTACTATGTGAGAAAACTTAACATGAGAGAAGTGGAAGAAAGATTATTGCACATCTTACTGATTCAGACAGATTTTTTTTAAAAAAAGCAGACTCCAAAACAAAAAGACTAGAATAGTAATTGATTTTATGCCTTGGCAACTTGAACTCTTGATACTTAGGAGGCAGCAGAGCTCTGTAGGAGTTCACTCACGCCTAGCTTAAGTGTTAGTCGCTTAAGTTGGCAGATCATTGGGTATACCATGAAAGAGTCAAGGATTCTATTCCAACACCTTGCAGTCTATTATTTGAAAAAAGAGATGTACCTGATTTACCTTATTTGGATTTTTCATAGTAAATGAGCAAGCAGAGCACAACCTATGCTCTTTAAAAATAACAGTATTTCTATGATCCAGCGTTCTTACCATTCATGGTGATTGTCGACAAAAGCAGACATTGGACTAATTTGGACAGTGTATGTGTCGTTGGCTGAATATTCAAATAAACCATAGTATGGGTTGAAGAGTTCTCTTGATACCAGGAAAAAAAACTCCCTTGAAGGTCCACTGTAGTCCAGTCTTAAAAAACAACAAAACATAAAGGGATACTATACAAATGTACTTTTTAAAAAGAAAATTAAAAACAAAGAAATATTTGCCTCAGATAATTAATGATTCATTCCCTCCCACACACACACTCAATATTTTTGGATCCTTTCAATCATCTCTGTGTAGCTTCTGAACATTTCATTTAATGACCGTTTATACTGCTTTGAATGTCACTAAGCTAGTTAGTGGTACACTACCTTAGCAACATTCAAAGCACTGATTTCTATTTCAGAACATATGAAAATGTAGATTTATTATTTTGCATTCAACCAGACATAATTGTATCTCTGATTTAAAGGCACAGATTATGCAAAATTTCCTATTAAATAGGTTGCAATGCATAGGTTTGGGTTGGTACTTCATTCAAATCCTGAAATGAGTGAATCTGTATTCTTTATTCTACATTTATTCTACATAGAAGCTTACTGTTCTTTAGTTCAGGTGCTGTTTAGAATACAAGCTAGTATCTTCAGTTTATTAAATATAGGAATAACAGATGATAGGAAAACTGAGCAAATTAAAGCTCACTTGTTTTTTCTAAATAAAATATTTCTCTGTTTTGCTTTAACTTTCTCACACACACCCAACCCTGTTTAAATCATTATGTAATATAAGAGATCTTTTATAAAAGTCAAATTTACCCATCAGATAGGAAATGTGTTGTAATAAAAGACAGAATTTTCTCCATCTATCGGCTAAGATATTCAGCTATTCAGTCTCTTTGTAGATTTATTCTTGTGCAATGATATGCAAGCAATTATAAGCAAGCCATTACCTTAGAGAGCAAGTGATGGACAAGCATGTATGATAACATATTTAATGTGTCCTGCTCTTACAGTAGGGACATCTTTAGGTGAGATAATACTCTGGATATAATGTTTTAAGTAGAGATTTTACCAAAATTTTAAAACACTTTTTAATTCGAAAAATAAAAAGTTTGATTGTCTCTTACGAAGAAAGAGTGATATCCCCTGCCTAAAAGTGGCGAGGGGAAGCACAACTTATCTAAATGCCATGTATTTTTGGTATTTCAAAACCAATATCTTATCATTACGTCTTTTTTCATTGGGAATAAACCAAATTTACTTTGAGCTCTTACTTTTCTGTTTTATATTTTTCTTTCTTTGGAGTGTTGTATTTTATTAAAAGAATTATAGTTCATTTAATATGTTTGCTTATAATGGCCAATCACTGTGAATGGTTAGAAATTAAATGAAATTCGTTTTTCAGATGAGAATTAAGTAGATATATATTGAAGAAATTATCTATCATTGTTTGAGCAGCAGGGAATGAAGCCATTCTTTATAGACTTGCATTTAAACAAGATTCAATGAATACTTTCAAATAAGCCATATTCTGCATATAGTTTGGTCCTTGCTTAATTTTTTTTTACTGCAATCATCAAGGAGAGTCCCAATTCATGTAAATATGATGCAATTTTTCCCTCCTGTCAAAAGAGAATTACTGGCCTTCAGAAGTTGAAAAATAGAAATTCCACATAGCAATTCTATTAGCAACAAGAAGTCTATGACACCATGAATTACGGCATCCACAAAAACTCAATAGTTCATAATATCCGTGATTTATACTCATTGCATTTCCAGTTAGAAAAACATACAATAATATTTAAAGTCCAAATTTTACTAAGGTATTTTCTACACTACACAAAATGATACATCGCCAAAATAATTAACACATTTAACAAAATATGTTAAAATTTGTATTTATTAATATTCTTCTATTATTATATTCTTCTATATATGTAGCTATGTAACTGCTTTACTATTGCAACAATTATCTTAAAATAGCTATGTACTTTCAGACTTTTCTTTCATATTTTATATGTTCAAAGTCAAAACAATCCTATTTATTGTTAAAACTATTCAGGAAAGAAGACACAATTTTGGCAACAGAATTATTTCTTTATTTTCTAATTTTCCCCCTGCACTAGTTCTTTTTTAAACCATGTGCAATTAGATTGACCCAGACTTAAGAGACACAAAAAAACATTGGAACCTAGACCAGACAGTTCTTTTATATTAGGGTTCCCCAATGTGGACAGTACTGACTCTCCCCTCAAGGATCTTTTTTGATGTTGTTGTTATTATTATTTGTAGTACTGTTATTTAAAGAAATAATTATTAAATTATTTTCATATAATAAATGTTTGGGAAATTGTCAGGCACAAGAAATCAGGAACCCAGGTGATTCAAATGAGTACAAATTTAATCCATGCTAACTCACTGAAGAATATAAACTACTAATAGTCAACCCAAATTGATGTGGACAAGAGTCAATAGAATTCAAGGAGGGCTGTGCTCTTATGTGCACAAAGGGGCTCCAAACTAATGATTTGCTTGACCCCTCCCTCAGGCTCAAACTGGTTATCTCCTACAGTTGATGAACAATTTGAAATTTTATGAAGAGGTCAATGAGCTGAAGAGTTTGGGGTCCCCTGCTTTATGTTATACACAGCTATTTATGTGGAAATAGCTGCATATTTTCTAGATCGCAGCTATAAATTCTGTAAAAATATTGAAGGGAGAGGGAAATCCTATTCTTACAAGAGTTTCTTGACAATGTTTTCAAAAGGTTTGTTGCAATTCAGCCTGTTCTAACATTTTGCTTACATTGTTTATGGATATATATATCTTGTAATCAACCACCTCAAGCACAAAAGTATTAGAGCAGAAACACTACATAAAACAATTATATTTTCATGGGGGAAATATTGGTTGCTTTGTACAAATTTTTAGTGTCACGGCACAGAAATATAATATTACCTCCCTTCCTGAACTACACTATGCTCGTGTTACCTATCATGAAACAGAGCAATGAAGAAATATGAACATCAGATAACCATAATTAGAGTTAAATTGACCATTACTTTGATTGGTGACAACTTACACCAACATGCTAAGCATCAAACCCAATTATTATGAAGGTCACCTGATGCCCAGCATCCTCTTTGGTTATACATTGAGGACATGGCACCAATCTTGAACCTTTCAATTTGAGATGGTGCACAGATTATCCTGTCTCTCAGGCTATGAAGATGGACTGACCTTTAAGACCCACCAAGACCCCCTTTCTTTTTTTAGTAAAGTGGGATGCCTACCTACACCTGAAATGGATCCTGCCCATTAGTTGGTTGGGATGCAGACTCTGCCCCTCCCCCCAAAAGGACCAAACAGTATAGAGAAAGTAAAATCTCTCCAACCTGTTTAATCTAAGATTCCTTTTAGGTTTGACCCTAATTGAAAGTGCTGATAGGGACAGTGTTAAATTCCTGCACTCTCTCACCCAAAGACCACACAAAATAACATCCTGGATAAGCAGGACCCCAAGTTGATAAATGAAATCACCTGCACCAAGGGGGGAAAATCCAGACAAAGCTATCATTATTAGAGGTTCTATGTATTCCTCATTACCATGTTCCTCAACGTATACATTTTAATTCTAGCATCTAGCAACTTTCATACAACTGTTTAATTAGTTGCCTGGTGAATCGTTTATGTGTTACAAGAGATTCTGACACCTAAGTATATCCAAAGGCTTTGCATTGAGAATGATTACAAGCAACGTTTGCAACAACAGCTGCAAGGGCATATGTTTACTATTCAAGAACACTAATACCACACCTCACAAATTACTTCTTAGTAATACACAGTTTGATTACTAAAACATACACATGTCACCTAAACATAATCTCACTCCAGCAAAGAGATGTTCTGCATGTTTTGAATCCACATTGTTTCTAAACATTTGGTGATGAAGAAATTAGTGATCGCTTGGATATTTCAAGCTTGGATATTCAAACAGTTCAACAAACCAAACCAACAAACTAAAGTTGAAATGTGGTGGAAACCCTTTAAGAGTTCTGTGATTTGTTTACTAGTTTTTTAAACAAATTGAACTACTTTATGTTCAGAGGCTTTATCATTAACACCTCTTTTGAAAAATAGTAAATATAGGGATAGTTAATGTATAAAAATGCTAATAGCAAAATTAAGGTTTGTTGTCTGTAACTGCTTGAGTACATTTACTGAAATCAAGACAAGAATGGTAGTACTTTTCCCAAGTAACAAACTTAGGATGAGATGGGGGTGGAAGGGAGGAGTTAGACCAACCTGTCCTATATTCTATATCAGGTTAGCCACTCCACACCCATATGAATTTAGGATTTTTAATAAAATGTATTAGCTGGGAGAGATGTTCCCAGATTAATTCATATGGTTCCCCTCCTATAGTCATCACATTCATGGGAATTGTTAATACGCTATTTCAGAGTTTAGCCATTTTACACATAGTGTTGTCATTTCTGGATGTTTCCTAACATTTTCATATTTTTTAATTATCTTGGGATTCATCTTGCCTTTCTTGTACATAAAACACTGCAGGCACGAGTCACAGTAACCTCTACTTTATGTTTCCAAGAACACTTTCTTTTAAGTATTATTTTCTACATAAATACCTGGACTAATTGGTACATTCTAAAATAAGATTCAGTTCTAAAAGCTTTTTATTAAATAATATCAAAATGGCGCAATTCTTATTTCCTATAAAGGACAAGATTTTGGACAGAACTAGTAGAATCTGTTTAAAATAAGTTGGCGCCAACATAATAAAGTAATGTAAAAATGGTTTTATTTATTTGTCCTTATCTCTATGCTACCACTTTGTAAGACTCCAAGCAACTCACAAAATAGAAGAGTTATCAAAACATCACATCTACAGAGTCATAAAACATCATTAAAAAAAAAATAATAAAAGCAAATTTATTGCCTCTAAACATGGAAGGTTGATATTTCTAAGTATAGAAGGATGATGAAGTATGAACAGACCTTCACTTAAAACTTTTACACTGCATGATGGGAGGGTGGTAAAAAAAGGAGGTAAAACCTGTGAAGAGATGGTGCCCATATAATTTAGAAGTTTCATGATTATTAAACACAAATGCATGAAAGTTAGCAGTGCCAATAAATATAGTTGTGTGATGGAGGGATCTTCATCCCTCCCTTAGATGTTTGCAATTATGTGAGACTGTATGCTGAAAAACTTCAATTTTACCCAAATTATCTAAGGAGTTAATATCATCTATCATATATCTAAAACAGCTAGTAAATCCAGTCCAGTCCTTCAAAGCAATCACCTTTTTTTAAAAAAATGCAGAGAGTTGGCAGTACAACATGCAGGACTAAAATCTTATCAGAGCAGATTTAATAGAAACTCAATATGTGCCAATGTGATGCTTTCTAAAGAACTCACATGTCAGGAAATCAGCACTATCTGAACAGCTGTAGGTTCTAGGCTTATAACAGGCATTTCCTGGCAGTAATTCTTCCTCATTTCTGCTCTAGACCACAAAGAGCGCACTAAAATATCTGCACACAGCTGCAAAACAAATCATGTATTAAGTATACTTTATATTGGTAGTCATTTACTTCTACTCACCCTTCCTCTCCAACAAATGTGACATACAATTTATTCCTCTGTAGATCCTTTCTTGAATAACCCATAATTTGATTGAAGGCATCTTCCAGCAAGTGGTCTCTTCTGATAATTAATCTTTACCATGAAACAAATCAGATTACATAAATCCATGACGATATTTATCTTTTCTGCTTGGTTATATATTTATATTCAGTTTATAATGACTCTCCCTTCAGCTACTGTATATGCATCAGCAAGATACAGTAGAGGCAGAACTACTAGACTACTTATAAAGATTCATGAAATTTCAATGTCTTGAAATATTCCTAATATGCATATTCTATTGCATCAATAAAATATTACCGAATGGACAAGGCAAAATTAAATT